ATTGTATTCTGCTTTTTATCTTGTTGTATTTTCTCAAAATCTGGTAAACTATTTGTAGAGCGAAGCTCATTTTCTTTAAAAATAATCAAATTTAAAATTTCTGGATATAACAGTTTCTATGTAAATGATATACAATTTTTTACTACACAAACTCCATTTTTTTCAAATTTCAGCTCACCCATTTCTATTCCCGTTTTAAGTTCTACTTTTCCAGCTATAATAAAGCCATCTGTATGTATACGTTTTACTTGATCTCCTAGTGGCTTTACAATTTCTGATATTCTTTTTCGTGCAGATGCTAATAAGAATAGTTTTATTCATAGATGTAAACCATAATTTTGTCCATTTCTTTGCTCACATAATACACCCCATAATGAAACTAATAATGTTTTAATAACTTTTCCTTCTATTCCACCTTCTTTTTTAATTTTGTATAATATATTATCCCATTCACCAAATATGTCTTTTCCTGTTATATGTATATTTCTTTTATAAATAAGTACATTTGGTGATATATTCATTAATGTTACTTACAATCCATTTTTTCATGTATATTCTAAATTATAATATATGTAAATTCCATGTAGATTATAACGTAAATATCTCGTACATTGAAAACTTTTCTTTGGAGGATTTCTTTCTATTGTTGCTTTATAAATTTCATATGAAAATTTACTCCATTTTTCTGTAAAAGATGAGTTTATAGTATGAAACTTACCTGGTGCAATTGGCTATGATGCATTTTTTTTTTTATCATTTCAAATATATACTTTGAATTTACATCGTATTGATTAGCTTCTCCTTCATATCTTTCTGCAAATATTAGAGCACCAGTTGTTGCTAAATCTATTCATGCACTTTCTTGTTTACTTATTTTTTCACTTTTTTGAGGTGCTAAAGTGGTTTTTTTAAAAAATTTTATAGTTGTTAATGTATAATTTCCAGATTTATACATATCAATTCTACTATGGGTTTTTTAGCAATAGCTTTAGACTCATCATTAATTCTTTTGTATACTTCCATAATTGTTTCTTCATTATTTGCTTTAATAAAATGATATTTGTTATATAATACGCAAAAATCTTCTTTAACTCCATACTATTTTCTTTTCCCATCATAAAACTCAAATCTATTTGCTATATTTTTATGAATTAAGATGGTTTTATCTTGGTAACTCATGCTATTTTGCTTTGAACTAGATAATGCAGAGTATCGAGGATGTTGAGCTTTGAGTCTTTGACTCATTTCTGATTCTCTTTTTCAGGGGTCGACTACTGGCGCACTTGCCTCTCTTGGCTGAAGTGTTGGTGGGTTTTTATCAAACGATATGAGATCACCTTCAGGAGTTGGAGTTGGGTTTTCAGGAGGGTTTTGAATAGGTGGATTTTTAGGTTGACAGGGATTTGTTCAGTTTAAATATTGTTGATACTTCTGATATGTAAAAAGTTTTAAACCACATCTATCGCAAATAGTATTTTTAACCATTGTGTATAAAAAGTATTATATATTACTTTATAAAAAGCTTTACTTTAATTAATTATT